GTAGGACATGACTACCTGCCATAAACTGCTTTTAGTTAAAAGGTTTTAATTTCAGACCATCCCTTGTTGTTAGAAGCTATACATTGTCTTCACTATCAGAAAAGTGTAAACAAGGAGCTCAGAATGCTGGTGAACCTTGAACTCTGGCAAGGGCCAAAGGTATGCACTGATTGTTTAGTCGAGACAATGGTGGCTCAGGCAATTTCCTGACCAAATAGTCTCAAAGTAAATCTTTACTAACATTTATTGACCTTTAAGATAGTCTGTCTGTTACCAGAATTGCCTGCCTTACTAAGGGCAATATGTGTATCCAAAATTAAATAAAAGGTTGGCAGGGCCTGGGCACCAGTGAGGTCCTTCCCCTAGCATTGGACTCTCCACCTGGCCCCCAATTTCCAAATTATTACTTACAAGAAGCCCAGTGCACAAAAATTTGTGCACTTGGGGGGCATCCCTCAGCCCAGCCTGCCCCCTCTAAGTCTGGGAGCCCTCACAGGATGTCCTACTGATGTCCCTGTGGGAAGCGGGCCTAAGCCGCAGTCTGGCCGCCCTCTGTGGAAGGCAACTGGCCAATCAGGTATATAGATACTTTCTGAAGGCAGAACAGAATCCTTCCTTATTTATTTCCTCTGTGGTTGGAGAATAGGGGACTAAAAGGTGGAGACAGAATTGTGGCTGGGCCTGGGGCTCTTGTAGGCAGCAGAAGGAAGGAGAGGGCTGGGGAAAGTCTAGAGAGTTTTCTTCTATTGTCCTCCCTTCTTCCGGGCCCCTCATCTGTTCTTTCCTTGTCATGGCTTGGGCCTTGGACTGACAGGAGCCCAGCGATGGTGGAGTTCAGCCCCCTCACTTCTCAGCTGAACATACAACCGCCTCACATTCCAAGTGGAGCTGTTTTCAAGTGGCTAAAGTGTTGGCAATTCATGCCTCCCGGCCTTTCGCCTCTCAGGTTTCCTCCTTGGGTCAGTTGCAAACTTCACCGAGACACCGAAGCAACTCTTCCCTGGTAGTTCTGCACCGGCCCCTGCCAGGGCCCACACCAGGAAGATCCCAGCTGAGGTCCCCTCCCTGCACCCAGCGTGCTCCTCCTTGTTCTACCACTGGGGGAAGGGAACAGCTCACCTGCTGTGGACCCTGCCAACCTGGCAGGCTGAGGCACAGGCCAGGTGGTGCAGCCCAGGATTCTGGTGTCTGTGAGCCTTCTCCCCCTCCCTGAAGCGTGGGGTGGGGTTGCAGCAGCTCACAGTCGCCCCTGGGCACCATGCATGGAGACACCGCCCTCCACTGAGCCACCATCTGCCCAGGACCTGTGGGGGTTGGGGTGGCCTCCGGCTCCCACTGGCCCCACTGAAGCCAGACTCGGCTTGGCCAGCCACCCCCACTGCCGGAGGGCTGCGCATGCCCCTCTGGCCTCATCGCCCTCATGAATCCCTGTGGTCTGGCCATCCCATCCCAGGAAGTGGCCATCCTGATCTCCATGGCTCACTCCCTGGTGCAGTTGGGCCTGCCCAGCAAGCATGTAGGCAGGAGCTGGGCCTCTGAGGGGAAGGAGGAGGGATGAAGGCCAGGGCAGAAGTGGGGAACTTGGCGGTGTAAACACAGCCCCCACCCCTCCGCCCAATGTCGTGCTGGCCCCTCGCGCTGCATTTCTGAACCCCTGGGTGCCCCTGCCCAGCACTATGCTCTCAGGCCTGGGGTGGGGATGAGGGACCTGGAGCTGCAGCCTGAAGGCAGCCCTCGCTGGCTTGGAATCGCAGTGGTCAATCAGGGAGGGATGCGGGGTGCCAAATTCTCTCTCTCTCTCTCTCTCTCTCTCTCTCTCTCTCTCTCTCTCTCTCTCTCTTTCTCTCTCCCTCTCTCTCTCAGAGAGGGCCCCACTCACCATTGTATTGCTGCCCACTCTGTTGCTGCTGAGGCCGCGGCGGCAGGGGCTGCTGACCTGGCCAAGGACCCTGGCCAGCCTCCTACGCCTGGACCCCAAGCAGCAGTGGAGCTTCCAGCACCCAAAGCAGCAGCAGTAGCCAGCGCACCAAGCACCCGGAGCCAGCTGGGGTGTGGCGGCGGTGGTGGCCAGAGTCCCAGCTCCCCTCTGCCATGGCTCCGCTGGAGCGCCGGACACAAAGTTCCCAGCTTCCGGCGCCGGCAGCCGGGGACTTCTTAGGTGTCTCCTCCTCTCCACCACCCGCTCTTCATGAATCCCAAGTTTCCGTGGAGGCGGCAGCTGCAGGACGCAGAGCGGGAGACAGGGGAGCAGGCCAAGTGCCGCTCGGGCTTGACAGAGGGCACCGGCGCGGAGGAGATCTCCCCGGCAGCAGGGGGAGCCGCTGCCCACTGGGGGGATCTCCTCCGGGCTGGTGCCCTCCGTCAAGCCCAAGCAGCACTTGGCCTGCTCCCCTGTCTCCCGCTCTGCATCCTGCAGCCGTCGCTTCTGCGGAAACTTGGGATTCATGAAGCACGGACAGCGGGGAGAGCCCTGGTAGCTCCAGCGCTCCAGGGCCGCCTCCCGCCTTCCTGGCCCTGGGCTGGCTATCTCCCAGCGTGCGGGTGGGGCTCATGCTAAGACAAGGGATGCCCCCGCCCGCCCTCGGGTCGCACACAGGAGTGGACCCCCTGTCTCCAGTGGGCAGGCAAGGGCTCCAGCCAGGCGATCGGCACCACTTACTTTGACCCCAGCCCCCACCCCGCCCGCCCCCAGATCACACACGGGAGTGGGCCCCCTGTCTCCAGTGGGTGGGTGAGGGCTCCGGCCAGGTGATCGGCATCACTTGCCTTCGCCCCAGCCCCCTGCCCACACCCAGGTCACACACAGGACCCTGGATGGCAGTTTGTGCTGTCCTACCCTGCCTGCAGTATGCAAATTAGCCACCATCTTTGTTGATGGTTAACCGCCATCTTAGTTGGCAGTTAATTTGCATATCACCCTGATTAGCCAATGGGAAGCGTGTTGGAGGCACGGTTAATTACCATGTTTGTCTATTATTAGATTAGATTGTCTCATCTTGTCATTTGCCCGTGGCCCTTCTCCAGCTCCCAAACCCTAAGCCATGTGGGACGTGGCATCTCACACCTTGTGGTTACTTTAGGTCTCCAGAGTTTGCAAGGCCACCACGCAGGCCTTTCCTGGGTTAGTCAGGTTAGCATGTGGCTCCTTTATGTATGCAGAGCCAAACTGATGACAATTGCTGGGAAACAAAATCTCAACGGACTGAGAAAATGCTCCAACGAATGGCAGTTTTGCAGTTTATTTTATACAAATCAAAGAAGGAATTGTAAGAGGGGTATTACATGAAATTCATTGGTGGTAGATTAGGGAGGCAGGAGAAAGCAAAGCGGGAAATCTCAGATTGGATAAAGAGCAAGACAGAAAGACACATACTTTTCTTTTTCTTTTTTTAAAATATTTTTATTGATTTCAGAGAGGAAGGGAGAGGGAGAGAGAGATAGAAACATCAATTATGAGTGAGAATCATTGATCCACTGCCTCCTGCATGCCCCCACCAGGGATCAAGACCGCAACCCAGGCATGTGCCCTTGACCGGAATCAAACCTGGGACCCTTCTGTCTGCAGGCCGATGCTCTATCCACTGAGCCAAACCGGCTAGGGCCATACCTTTTTTTTTTTTACATTGGAGGGGGCAGGATAGTTAACATTTACAGCACAGATAGTATGCAGGGAGCAGATAATAATGCAGGGTTCTGTGGCCTGTGCCCAGGTAGAAGGTTGTCCCCTGAGGGGTCTGAAAAAAGGGAGTTTCTCTGATAGTCCAAAGATGTTATCTTAGATGCAAAAGACAATAGGTCTAGGATGAGACTAACCCCCATGACTCACTTTCAGGTAGGGATTTTAAGTTCAGACCGTCGTATGTGGTTATTTTTGGTCTCTGAATCTGTAAGACCCACCACGCAGGCCTCCGCTGAGCATGTCAGGTTTAGTATGTGGCCCCATTTTTTGTCCACACTAACATTATATAAGCTTCAAGTATGCAGTTCTGCAATACATCATCTGTCCATTGCACTGTGTGCTCACCACCGGTAGTCTTGAAGCATCCATCTTGGATAAAAACTGCTGTTTAAAATTTTAACCCTGCTATTCTGGCTTCTGTAAACGTTTGCTTGCTTAAATCACAGGGAAAAATAAGACTACTCCCCACTCCAGAGACACCATAAAATATGCCCCAGACAGAGTTGTCAGTGCTGGCCCCAGGCCAGGCCTTGAGATATGGTCTCACGGCCCTGTCCCAGCGCACAGGCCTTCTTTCTCAGAAGGTCCGGAAGTCTCATTCCAAATTTGGAAGACAAAGAGCTGAAAAAAGTATAAATAAGGAAGACTTCCACCATATTGGGCCCCAGAATTTGAGAAGCAATATTTCCTGTGGGTCCGCTAGTACTAGCAAAATGAAAAAGACTTCAAATAAATTTGGCTTATTGATTAAGGCACCTTCTGATTTACAATATAACAGTCTAGTTACATTGTAACTAGAGTTCAGAAGCTTTATTTCCCATCACCATATATTTGACCCCTTTACCCTTTTCATCCTCCCCCATCCTGGATCAGTTTTCTATTGCTGTGTAACAGATTACCAGAACGTTCAGGGGTCAAGAGTCCAGGCACGAGAGTCCTCCATTCGGGTCTCACAAGGCTACTGGGAAGAATCCAGGCTGGACTCTCACCTGGAGGCTGGGCTGGGGAAGAATCTGCTTACTCACGTTGAGGTCAGTGGGTGGTAGGACAGAGGCTCCAGCTGTTGGCTGGGGCTGCCGCCGTTCCCTGCGCCGACATCAGTGCTTTGCTATTTGAGCTTCTCCAGCAGGCCTGCTTGCTTCCTCCAACCCCAGGAGAGTCTGCAGTCTGGTAAGGAGTTTTAGTGATCACAGGACATCCCAGCAAGTCACAGATCTGTCCCAAGCTCCCGGTGCAGGCGCTGCAGGTCCGCCACCGCGCAGCAGGTGGCGCCGGGCTCGCCTCCTCCGCCCCCAGGGCCGCGCGCCGTGGGCCCCGTCCCGCGCCGTAGGCCCGACCGCGCGCCGGCGGCCGCGATGGCGGACGTGTCCGAGAGGAAGTTTCAGCTGTCCGTGCTGTTGGCCTTCGCCTCCGGGGTGCTCGTGGGCTGGCAGGCGAACCGGCTGCGGAGGCGCTACCTGGACTGGAGGAAGCGAAGGCTGCAGGACAAGCTGGCGGTGATGCAGAAGAAACTGGACCTGGCCTGAGCCCGCGGGCCCCGCCGCCCCCGCGCGCCCCCTCGCCGCGCGCCCCTTCGCCTTGCCCGCGCGGGGCCTCCAGCCTGAGCCAGCCTCCTCCGCAGAGCCCAGTGCCGGTGAGCAGTGCTTGCAGCGGCTCGAAGTCTACGGGAGCCTTGGGAGTGGGGCGGGGGTCTGGGGCAGCTCACAGGAGGTGGCTTGCTCCCACGGACACCAGAAAGAGGAGGGAGCTTTGTTTTCCCCAGTAACTGAGCTCTGGTGTCTTAGCTCAGTTCATTGCCTGTGTTTGCTGTGAGTTACTTACCACGTGCAATGTCGCTGCCTTTAACTTAAAGTGTAAATACTGGGGAAAGCGAAAGGGAAAACGAAAGAGGGGACCGAGGTGTCCCTGCCACCCTTTCCCCTCTCATCAGTCTTTTCAGCAATGTCCTCGTTAGCACCGTAGTCCTTGCGTCCGTGTTTTGCACTCTCCAGTCTGAGTCCCTGGGTGATCCGCAGCCTGGCAGAATGGAAAGGGGAAGGGCCTGGAAGTCAGGAGCCTTGCATCTAGTCCTGGCTTTTCATTGGGGCTATGCAGGCGCTCGGGGTGTCCGTTTTCTTACCTGTAACACCAGGTCTTGTAGTTCATGGTTTAGCTCTACAATAGGATAAGTTGAAGTTAATGATTATTTCTCTCTCTTTTTTTCTCTTTCTGTTCCCAACAGCTTGTCGAAGATGGATAGAAATCATCTGTCCTTACACTTTATGAATCAATTTTATTTTTAAAATAAAATGTTAAACATCTTTGAAACTTTCATTAAATTAAAAGGACAAGGGGTATCTTGCCTGCCCTGCAGTTCACTGCATCAAGAGATCTGCATGCTCAAAACTGATCTGTTTGCATTTTTAAGCAGATACCTTGTTTCTTAAGGAATCTATGCTAGTTCCTGGGTACAACTGCAAAGCAGAGTTGGCTTGGCCACGGTTATGAGTCCTTTTGGTCAGTTTTTTTGTTTGTTTGTTTGTTTGGTTGGTTGGTTTTTTTACTGAACCTGATGAGAAAAGCAAGAGGCTGCGTAGAAATAACTGGGGTAAGAGTGCTGTATATAAGACATTTGCACTTTCAGGAGCATGGAATGTGCATGTGAAGGAGAAACCCTCTTGAATAGAGAGAGCTTAGTGATAAATACAAACTATATGTAAAAATCAAGAGTGAGGGACCAAGTCCCTGGTTATTGTGGATTTGCAAGAGGTGTTTTCTAGAACACTGCCCTTGCTTGTTCCTCTAAAGATTAATTTTTTGTCTTAGCCAATTTAATAGCAGCTCCAGGTTAACACCAGGAAATTCAGAAAAGTTGTTTCCACAGAAAGCTTTAGTTTATCCATTTCACTGGAGCCATTATGCTTTGTTAGTTCCAACCTTATGTTCATTCTGTGAATGCAGCACTCAGGGACTGGCATGCAGGTGCTGAGAGCTCTATCCCATCTGGGCTGCAGGTTGCTGAAGTATCCTAGCTGCCATTGCTCATTCCAAGTTACCAAGAGGCTCCAGAGCTGAGGCTCGTTGAGACAGGACAGGTTTCTTAAGGCACATGGTGCTCCCTGGCGTTTCCCATTACAGTGTACTTACATGGAGCGCCCTGACACACTCATCTCCCTCTCCTATCTCACTTCCTGTTTCACCTCAGGGCATGTGCTGCTCACCCCCCAAGTCCTCTCCAGGTGCTTATGTGGTTTCAGCCACACCATGCCACTCCTAATCGTTCTCTCGTTTTCTGCTTCCTGCCTCTTCACACTGGCCCTGTGTCCCCAGCTCTGTGGTGGGCAATTCTCTTTGACATTGGTTCTGTCACCATTCCTCCTCTAGCCATCTACCCCTTGCCCTACATAAATGTGTGTTGGTTTTTCCCTCAAAACATTGTCTCACGTGGAGATGTGACTTTTTCCATGGTAGCAAAATTGGCAATGAAAAGGTTGGGAGATAGGTTATGATGCCAGTCACATACCTTGGAAATAACAAACTGTTCACTCATGGAAATACATGTTTCAGCAACTGCCCCACCCCTCCCCCCTAGTAATTTCAATGATGATGCTATGCTGTTCCAGGACTCACAGGAATAAATGCTTGTAATTCTGAATATGGAACAAAAATATGTAAAATTGAAGTCATATTTCTACCTGAGGTGAACAAGTGTAATATACTTTTATCATCCTTCTCACTGCTCATACTTACACATATATGTAGGGGGGGTATTTTTTCCTTCAACATAGAGTTAAATTTTATTCATTTCCATTTAAAATAAGCACATCCCTTGCCCAGCCAGCATGGCTCAGTGGTTGAGCATCGACCTATGAACCTGGAGGTCACGGTTCGATTCCCAGTCAGGGCACATGCCCAGGCTGCCAGGTCGATCCCCAGTGTGGGGCGTGCAGGAGGCAGCTAATCAATGATTCTCTATCCCTCTCTCTCTGAAATATATATATATATATATATATATATATATATATATCCCTATAAATCAGATACAGAAAAATTTTTCCTAATTTATTTATAGACATTTAAAATAAGGATTTCATAAATGGATCGTCAGTGTAATTATTTTTTCTTTTTGCTTACCTCTTACAAGATTACTTAGAAGTAGTGATTTAGTAATCCATTTTAAAATATAGCATTTACCACTTTCTCATTGATTACAAACATTTTAATGGAAATGTTCTGCTATTCAAGCGAACTTAAGTATTATGAGCCATACTGGAGAAATTAATTTAAAATAATGACATGAGCTGCAAAAAGCAGATGGTACCCACTGTTGACCAGGACATGAACAAAAACCCATACCCTGCTGGTAGAGAATAAATCAGGACAAGCGTGGGAAAACAGACAGTATCTACTAAACCCGAACATATAACATGCCGTGTGGCCAGCATTGAGCACGTGTTCCCACTATGTACATATGTAAATAGTAGCACTAGGTTGTAGTAGCCCTAACTGGAAACTACCCACTGTCCAGCAACAGCACAAGGAATGAGTCTGAGTCCATCACAAACTACAACTACACACAGCGATACAGGTGCATCTCACAAACATGTTGAGGGAAAAGCCCAACATGCTGCCAGGGCACAATGCATCATCCCATCGCACAGTTCCAAAGGCAAAGCCAGGTTTTGTTAGCAGTTGGGGTCGTGTTTACTTTTGGTGTGAGGGGGGTGGACTGGGTAGGGCCTAGAGCAGTGGTTCTCAACCTTGGCTGCACATTAGAATCACCTGGGAATCTTTTTAAAATCCTGATTTCTGGGCCTCATCCTCCGGAAATTGTTTCTTTGTTACTAATGATGAGGCCCAGAAATCACGATTTTAAAAAGATTCCCAGGTGATTCTAATGTACAGCCAAGGTTGAGAACCACTGGCCTAGAGGAGAGACTGCTGGGGTGCTTGTCATGTTCTGAATCCTAATGTGGGTGAGTGACGTGGGGGAGTGTTCAGTGTGAAAACTGAGGTGGGCGCTTGTTGCCACTTTAAATTATACTCGAAGAAAAAAAGTACACGAACAGAATGGCCACTGGGCCAGTGCATCACTGTGTGTGGTTCTGAAGGAGCCTAGCGGCTCCTCGTGTGAAAGCTGAGCTCCGATCCTCATTCTTGTTCAGTGTAGTGGAGCGCGGGGATTGGTTTATAGGATCCAGTCCCACTTGGGGAAATGTCACTGCAGTCTGAGAGTAGATGTAAAATGGGGATGATTACTCGCTCGCAGGCTTGCTGTAGAACAGAGTCCGCATCCTCACAGAATTCAGGATGGCCACGTGCAAACCTAGAATGAGAAGTCAGCCACACCCCACGTGGCCAAGAACTAGAAACTGCCCTTTGCAAGGAGCGGAGGCAACAGAACTGGGGGTCCCGGAGGGCGCAGAGGAAAGCTGTCCTTGCGGTTAAGAGTTTAAGGTGCTCACATGGTATCAGGTTGGTTTAGCAAAACTGGCATAACACCCGAGCCCTGCAGTCACGTGGCAACACTGAGACCGTGGGACCCGTGGACGTGCGGTTTCCGACGCCGTGGGAGCCCCCGACCGCCACCCCCGCCTCAGGGTGCCGGTTACAGACGACCACCTGGCGGGGCTGAGGGCTGCGACCTGCGACCTGCGGTGGCGGGGTCAGGGGACAGGACCGCCTCCAGAAAGCCTCCCCCAGCCCGGGCAGCATCAGGCTGTGCGACCAGCGCCCGCTGATGGCGCCACCCGGTGACGTCACCTAGAGGGGCCGCTCGCCCGCTCAGAGGCGAGGAGGTGCAGGCTGGGCGGCCGCGCGCCTCCCCGCAGCCCCTGCAGCGCGGCCGGAGCTGAAGCTGCAGGTCCGACCTGCTGTCGCGGAGCCTGGACAGTGCGGGGCCCCGGTCCTGGCGGCGAGTGCGGGGCCCTGAATCCCGGGAGCCGCCCGGACCCAGGGGCCTTCCCAGCTAGACCGCTCCCCCCACCAAACCCGGGTCTGACCCTCATCCTCCCCGCCAGACCCCAGGGGCCCAACCTCCCAAACGGTGACCTTTGATTCTCTGCCTGCCCTCACCCTAACGTTTCAGTCTCCGAGCCTGACACCTCCCTGAACCCCCTCACCTTTGAATCTAATCCTTTAACAGGAGCCATTGCCAACCACATCTGGCCCAGCACCACTCTCTCCACTCTCCAGTCCCCTTTCCCGCAGCCTTCCTCCATGGAAGCTGCCTTTGCTTCCCCTGAACGCAAATGAAGTAGGATTAATCAAAGAATATCTCCGCCAAAGACCTTGAACTAAAGAAGAAATAAAGTAACTAATATACATGAGAAACGTTCACTTCAAAGGTAATGGATTGCAAAGGAAAGATACCTGGAGCATTTAAAAAATCAGTATTCAGTACTGGGGAGTGTGTGATGAAACAGACATTGGATAGCTCTGCTCCGGAGTACAGGGGGCAGCCTTTCTGGAGACAGTTTGACAGGATGTAGCAAATATTCAGGCTCCTGGGCTGGATGATTACATTTCCAGGAATTTATCACACATAATAATCAAAAAGTTGGGCCAGATATTAATGTATAAAAACGTTCATCACAGTGTCACTCTTTTTAAAATATATATATATATTTTTTTAAAAAAATTGATTTCAGAGAGGAAGGGAGGAGAAACATCAGTGATGAAAGAGAATCATTGATTGGCTGCCTCCTGCACGCCCCCTACTAGGGATGTGCCCGCAACCAAGGTACATGCCCTTGACCAGAATCGAACCTGGGACCCCTCAGTTCAGAGGCTGAGGCTCCATCCATTGAGCTAAACCGGCCAGGGCTGCAGTTTATTTTAATTTACTTACTAGAGGCCTGGTGCACAAAATTTGTGCACAGGTAGGGTACCAAGGCCTGGCCGGCGATCAGGGCCGATCTGTGGGGCAGCGGGTGGGTCAATCCGGGGGCTCCCGCTGGCACCCACCTTGGCTGGCCTGGTGCCAGTCCCACCCCCCACTGCCACTGCCAGTGGCCTCCCTCTGCAGGTGACTGGTGGGGCAATCAGGGGCCCCTGCTAGCACCCGCCTTGGCTGGCCTGGGGCCTGCGGGTTGGGGGCAGCTCCTGTGTTGAGCATCTGCCCCATGGTGGTCAGTGCGCGTCATAGTGACCAGTCATTCCGCCGTTCAGTCGATTTGCATATTAGGCTTTTATTATATAGATTTTTTAATCCTCACCCGAGGATATTTTTCCATTGATTTTTGGAGAGTGGAAGAGAGAAGAAAAGTCAGAGAGAAATATCAATGTGAGAGAAACACATCGATTGGTTGCCTCCTGCATGCCCCTGACCAGGATCCCGGCCAGGGAGGAGCCTGCAACCGATATACGTGCCCTTGACCAGAATCAAACCTGGGACCCTTCAGTTCACAGGCTGATGCTCTATCCATTGAGCCAAACTGGCTAGGGTGCAGTTTATTTTGAAATACATAAAAAAATAAGGCCGACTAATGAATAGATGGATCAAATAAGTATAGTAAAATGTTAATGGTAGAATCTAGCTAGTGGGTTGTTCACTATAAAATTCTTTCCACTTTATTGTATGTGTCAATCATAAAATATTGAGGAAAAGATTAAATTTTTTTCCCTAGGGTTACATGATGTTTAAGAATAAATATGATATTTTAACATCTCCATTTATTATAGGTTGATAGTTTGCTTTCTGAGTATCGATTGAAAGGAGCTCTACAAGCCAGTAAAAAGTGAGATATTTACCAAAGGTAAAGCATACTCAATGTTATAAGCTGCCCAAGAACTGTATGTGCATTGCAATGAGCTGTGTTTAGAGCATTGAAACTGAGGAATTATTTCTTTCCTTTTTTTTTATTAGTACAATTTCCTTTTTTTAATTTTTTTAATTTCTAAACCCAGTTGGATTTATTTTTATAAACTTTATAAGCACGTTGTAGCTGAGGAATAATCCTAAAGTGATTCATAAATTTGCTATACTCTAGCTTCCACATATCCTTCAACAAGATCTCAAAGAAAATTCAAATATATACTCCATTATTTTTAAATAGCAAAACAAATAAAACCAAGATTAATAAAAAATGAAGCTATTAAAATATAGGCTAGGATGTATTTATTCTTTTAAATCTTAAAATATTTTTAAAGATCTCACTCATTTTTAATTTCTTTAAAACAGAACTAAAATAATTAATTTGCCTTACTTCTCAAATGTTTTCTTTCAGAAAAAAAATAAGGCTGAATTTTCTGCAACCATTTCTTTTAATTGCTGTTCCATATATGGCACAGCATAAAAAGAGATTTTCATTTACTCAAAGCGAAGTTTGACCAGAAATAATTAGCAAATTGTTAGAAAATAATAACTATAAGAAAATTGATATAAGACAGTGATGGCGAACCTATGACACACGTGTCCGAGGTGACACACGAACTCATTTTTTTGGTTGATTTTTCTTTGTTAAATGGCATTTAAATATATAAAATAAATATCAAAAAATATAAATCTTTGTTTTACTATGGTTGCAAATATCAAAAAATTTCTATATGTGACACGGCACCAGAGTTAAGTTAGGGTTTTTCAAAATGCTGACATGCCGAGCTCAAAAGGTTCGCCATCACTGATATAATACAAACTCCAATACCCTTAGATAAATCACGTGGAAATCCTTTAGCTTCATTTGGATACACAGTTAGATGACTCCATTATGTGGAAAATGTAATTGCATTCTTAAACATACATTCACTTCCCCAAGCTCTGGAAGGTCATCTTTTTTCTGCAAATCAGAAGTTAAATTTAAAACATATCCACATCTCATATTACCTTTAAAATTTGAAAAAAAAAACTAATAATGAAAAATAATATTGAATGGTAACAATGAATGAAATTTTTGAAAATGTATTTAAAATCTTTCTTGCAATTACCTATATCTACCAGGTCTAAATACTGGAATGATAAGATTAAACTGAGAATTAGAAATGTTTGGCCCTAGCTGGTTTGGCTCAGTGGATGGAGTGTTGGCCTGCAGACCAAAGGGTTCCGGGTTCAATTCCGGTCAAGGGCAGGTACCTTGATTGCAGGCTCCTCCCTGGCCCAGGCCCTGGTCAGGGCTTGTGTAGGAGGCAACCAATGGATGTGTTTCTCTCACATCGATGTTTCTCTCTGTCTTTCCCTCTCTCTTCCACTCTTTATAAAAAATACAAAAAAATAGATCAATGGAAAAATATCCTCTGGCGAGGATTAACAACAACAACAACAACAAATGTTCAAAAGAGGTAACTTAATTTATTTTGTACTCTGTATGTACCAAGCAGTGTGGTCCACACTGTGAAAACTTTTCTTAATTTTCACAATATACCATGAGAAAATTGAGGTTCACCGTGAGTAGTGAAAGGGTTAAGGAGAATAAAATGGGGCAAAGAAAACCTTATTGCGTTTAGCAGATATTTTGCAGAAAGCTTGCAGCCTTGAGCACAGCATAGCTCAGATAACTAGAAGACACCTGGCATGGGAGGAACCAAGGACGGACCAGACCCTTATGTCAGCAGAGCTGCTTGCAGCCAGCAAAAATTAATAAAAACCTATCTCTCCCTGCTCTCTTCGCTGATGCCTTTCTAGGTCTCAGCCCACCCGCACCCAGGTGGTCAGAATAAATCTTTTTTGATACATTAGGACCTCATGTCATAGGTGCACGACCGCAGCCCACTCCGAACCTTTCAGTTAGTTAATTTCTCTAATATTACTTTGCTATGAGACATTAGAGTTGAAGGGGCAATAAAAATACCTAAGTTTGCTGAGAAACGCAGGGTTCAGTGAAGCAAGAGGAAGAACGTTGCTGAAGTTGCCACGCAGAAGCAGGCTTTGGTCCATAGAATCCAGTGGAGGAATTACATGGTGGCCCCACTTGGGTCTAGTCTAGAAACCACCCTAAACCTGAAGGTGGTGGGCTTGCTGTTGTGACAGCAATTGTAGAAATTGCTGAGTGAACGTGGTGGCTGAAGCAGGATTGTGGGAGGTCCTTGGCCTGTGTAGGCCCAGGTCTGTGACCTGGTCAGAAATCTCCGTCTATTAACAATTCCAATTTCCTTAAGGTGGGAAAACTGTTCTCTTGGTGGATAAGAGGTTTTGTTTTGTTTTGATTTTTAAAAAATCCCTTGGAGAGTTTAAAATTAAATAGACTGTAAAATTATATAGTCATGATGAGCTAAATCATATTAGAATAGTAATAAGTTTGAATTAAGTTTAGGACATTATTAAGATAATTTCCAGAGGGGTGGGTTTTCGGTGGAGGGAGGCAAAGGGGAGGATCTTGGGGGACATCTGCAATAGTGTCAACAATAAAGATAATCTGTGTGTTTGGGGTATTTAAAGAGTTTATAACATTCAAAAGAATGTGAGGTTCCTTCTACTAGCTTAAATGATAATCTTTTGAAGAACTTCTACCTTATGCATATATGCATGGCCCATGGACACAGACAATGGGGTGGTGAGGGCCTGGGGTGGAGGGACAGGGACAGGCTGGAGGAGAAAGGGGGGGGGAGGGGGGGCAGAAAGGGGACATGTTATATTTTCAACAATAAAGAATTATTCTTTTTTTTAATATATTTTATTGATTTTTTACAGAGAGGAAGAGAGAGGGATAGAGAGTTAGAAACATTGATGAGAGAGAAACATTGACCAGCTGCCTCCTGCACACCTCCCACTGGGGATGTGCCCGCAACCAATGCACATGCCCTTGACCGGAATGGAACCTGGGACCCTTCAGTCCGCAGGCCGACGCTCTATCCACTGAGCCAAACCGGTTTGGCAACAAGAATTATTCTTAAAAAAGAAATTTTACTTAAGTCCAGCATCCAAAGTGCATAAAAGCAAAATTAAATTTATATGAATTTTAAAATATCTAAGGGAACTTAATTAGCTACATTTATTAGTTGGAGTGATTGTTTAAAGAATTTAGGTCAAGTTAAATTAAACAATAATGAAAGAATGTGAAGGTGATTGTATTTGTTTTGCTAGAATTTAAAATAGAGTAAGATTTATAGGCTGAATTTTAAGCCCCAGGGGAAACTAGGTCTTTAAATTTTATTTTAATAAAATAATTAGTTTTAAACCCAAGTAACCATAAAATAGTCTTCTCTGTGTATCAAAAGATCCCCTATAGCTGTTGTCGGCAAACTGCGGCTCTCGAGCCACATTCGGCTCTTTGGTCCCTTGAGTGTGGCTCTTCCTAAGCCTTAGGAGTACCCTAATTAAGTTAATAACAATGTGCCTACCTATATAGTTTAAGTTTAAAAAATTTGGCTCTCAAAAGAAATTTCAATCGTTGTACTGTTGATATTTGGCTCTGTTGACTAATGAGTTTGCTGACCACTGCCCTATAGTATAGGGCCTATACAGTCATTTTAAAAATTCACATTGAGACTTGCAGGTCTGAAAATGTACTTTAGCCCATATGTGTGATTAATAATTGGCTGGAGGGATATAGAGTAAAAATAATTTCTACTGAAACCTTCGAAGACATGGTCAGGCTTCCTTGCACCCAGTGATGCTAAGTGATGGCCATTCCTTTCTAACTAACCTGTTGGGGCTTTGCTCCTCAACCTGGGAGTTTTGAAATTTTATCACGATGTCTTTGTCATTTTTATCTTGCTCAACATTCAGTGCTTCTTTTCAGTTTGAAAACTCGGGCCTATCATGAGCTCGGGGAAGTTTTCATTTACTAATGTTACTAAATTACATTTTTTATTCTGCGCCTCTGCTTCTCCCTGAAACACCTTTGAGTCAGGAACTGAGCCTCCTGGCTATACCCTACTCTGTTGGTCTCATCTCCCCTAGTAGTTTTTGTTTGCACCTGGGAGATTCTTTTAAGTTAAAAGACTTTCTCTTTTAACTTTCTATGAAATGTTCCTTGTTCCTAAATAGCTAATGGGCTGTGGGAGGTACAGCAAGTGCTGCCAAAACAAGGTGAAACTCGCAAGAACATTGTAAACATGTTGACCACTTCCCTTGTTTTGCTTTGTGTGCTCTGACTATAAAATAAAGCTTTGGCTTGCAGGCTGGGTCACTATGTCCTCATCCAGGCACAAGTGAACCTACCTAGCTCCAACTGTATTCTCTTGTCTGTCTTCTTTAATCCTTCACTGCCCCTCCTCAGGTTCACCCCTGGCTGTGCTGAATGAGGTTCACCATATTGCTGGTTTTCTTTATTACGTCCAGTGGTGCTTGGGTTTTCCATTTTTATTTCAGAATGAGGGACTAGGTTGATTATTGTAGAGAACCTTATAGGTTTTTCTACTGTTGTATATCTAGATCTCCTTCCTACTGGTACTCCCTGAATGAGAATGAAGTTCTCTGTGCGTGGGCAGGGATTTGCAGGGGCTGGGAGTGAGCCTTTAGCCTGAGGAGCCCACAGTGCCAGAGTAGGGTGGGCTGTACCCTGGTGTACAGGAAGTTCTTTAGCACCTAGAAGCCTCCCCAGGTCATTCATTAACTTGTTTTAGAGAAGAGTGACCTGGTAAGGACGGAGAACAGTGAGGGGTGAGGTAAGAGAAAGGGGAGCTGTCAGGTTTTCTGTACATAAACAGACTTATTTAATAGTCAAAGACTTATAGAAGGGCCTTAACTAAATCTGAACTTAATCAGTGTCTTTACTCTCTCCCTGCATAATAGAAAGACTTTGGATTGCCCCAAGACTGATTTCCCTTTTTATAGCTTAGGTGTTATGAATATGATTTAATTTATATAATACATTAATATATAACATAATATTTAAAGTAGCCTCAGCTGTAGCTCATTTTTGGTGGTTTTTATAGTTATCACTTGGATGTCTAA